AACAATGGAATGGTTTAAAACAAAACATATCCATGTGTTAGACTGGCCCAGTCAAAGTCCAGATCTAAATCCAATCGAGAATATGTGGCAAAATCTGAAAACTGCTGTTCACAAACGCTGTCCATCTAATCTGAGCTGGAGCTGTTTTGCAAAGAAGAATGGGCAAAGATTTCAGTCTCTAGATGTGCAAAGCTGGTAGAGACATGCCCTAAAAGACTGGCAGCTGTAATTGCAGCAAAAGGTGGTTCTACAAAGTATTGACTCAGGAGGCTGAATAATTACGCACACCCCACTTTGCAGTTATTTATTTGTGAAAAATGTTTGGAATCATGTATGATTTTCGTTCCACTTCTCACGTGTACACCACTTTGTGTTGGTCTTTCACGTGGAATTCCATTAAAATTGATTCATGTTTGTGGCTGTAATGTGACAAAATGTGGGAAAATTCAAGGGGGCCGAATACTTTTGCAAGCTACTGTAGAAACACAAATTAACCTAACATGCATGTCTCTGAAACCTGTGCAAACAGAAATGTGAATTTAAACTGTGTAGTTTGAATTCACATCCAGTTGCAGATATGAGACATCTACAAGCTCGTTTTTAACAAAAATCAACTAACGTGGAACTATTTTAGGCTCTGAGTGACTCTGACTAAAAGAGAATGAGCCATTCTGAAGTGGACCTAATCTGCTCCTTTCCATCTCTGCATTTTTGCTACTTTGAACTCTACTAAAGTAGCTTTGCACTATTCACTACTGAAAAAATATAGCTTGCTTCTCTCCCTATAAGAGAAATTTGTTTTGATTGGCTGTCTCTCACAAATAGAAGTTTTGATCAACAGGTAGGAGGTGCTTCTGGGCTGCTGTGACCATATTATCACTATCCCTCTGTCACTGACATCATACTTAGCTGCAGGCAGGTTTTTCCCCACTCTCGTTGTTTAGAGAAGTCTGAGGCCTGAGCTCACGGGAATTACTGGAAACTGCATTTATCCTGCATGAAGAGTAGATTATTAACTGGTGAGTTTTTCTAAATCTCCTCTTGGACACAAATTTACCCCTTCATGATCTTATTACACTTAGATTCAAATCAAATTCAAATTTTATTTGTCACGTACACAGTCATACACAGTACGATATGCAGTGAAATGCTTAGACAACTGCTCGTGACCTAAAGGGAAAAAAAAGGAAAAGGCTATGAATAAGATAGGAAATAAATATGAAAAATTAAAAAGGGTAAATTTAAATAAGGAAGGAATAAAATATAAATTAAGGTTAAAAATGAAATAACTGTACAACACAAATTAGAATGAAGGGTAAATTTAACTGGGAAAGAATAAGATAAAATATATAAATTAAATTAAAGTTGAAAATAAATTAACTGTACAACAAAATACACAATACACAGTATAGAACTATATAAGAATGTATGAAGAAATATAAATAAATAAATAAATATATACACAATAACAGCAGCTGTACAAGTATTAACTGGAAATGAAGAATATAGTGACCAGTGTTGTGCAATCCACATTATGTCTTGTGCAGTGCAAATATGCTTAAAGTGATTTGGAAGATTCTTGGTGTAGGTGATCACTGAGCTCAGGTTTCTCTTAATTTTCATGAAAGTTTTGTCGCATCCAATTTGATCAAATCTTTATGACCACAGACAAACAGTGAGATGACTGGACAGATGCGGGTATAGGCTGAATATCTATGATAAAGAAACGGGTGAGGCAACTTCAAGTTGTATAGGAAGGGGAAAAAACGATCCTAATGTAACTATAGATCTATTATACGGGTTCATATCCTTTACACTTTGACCTTGACCTGAGGCATCTCAGCATCCAAGTGATTTCTGGTTTGCAGAATAAAATTCTGTGCTTGCTTTTAAGATTTTAAGGCAGTTTCAGTGTCTCTAATAACATTTTATTAGATTATAAACTCCTTTATCAATAGTCTTACTTATGAAGGTTACACTTAAAATAGTCTTGTCGTAAGTTATTTTAGTTACGTTTTCAGGGATTCCTTGACTCCATATTAAATCTTCCTTCAAAATAAGATAGTGTGAAACCGAAAAGAACCAAATTTCTTTTTCCATCACTGAATGATTTTTTTTTTTTAGTAAAAGTAATTTATTTTTATTGATTTTTTTTTGCATATTTAGAAAAACATCCTGTAATTTTTTGTGCCACACTCCAAAGAGGAAACTTTTCAACAGAACATCTAATGAGCAAATAAACGGGTTTTAAGATGTTGGACTTTGTGTTTTGTTGTTAGTTTTGATGAATTCAGGTGTTTTGTTTTCTGGGTGGGAAGAAAGTCATGATGTGTATCTACTATCATTAAAGAACTGTAGATTACAGTTTAATTATCTATTAATTTAGAGTAACTTTACCATTAAACAATGAAATGGTGATTACATGTTTTCTAACTAATAATGATGAAATTTGCTAGTTACATTTCTGTAAAAACAGAGGAAAAAAATGTCAGAGTGGAAAAAACAGCTCTTTGCACTGGAGCTTTGCTTTCTCTGTACTTAAACACTGTGAAAATTGTGGTACCTACAGCAGGAGTGCTGTCAGGACACGCCCATACATGGCGATTGATATCATATGAAATGCGATACCATAACATAAATACATGTAAACAATCGCTAATCAAATTTGATTAAAAAAACACTTCTGTTTTGAAGTTTATCCCCAAATAAGTAGGTTTAAGTTATTATGAAATCTATTCTTCTGTTGCAGAATTCTCATAGTTTTGTATTCAGAATTTTATTCTTCTTATAATTTGCAAACAGCTACAGTCTCAGAGATACATAGTGTCTGCCATGATGCAAATACTGCAGCAGGATGGGCCTCTCAGAATACTACCCAAACCACAACCTTTTACTAAACCTAACCAAAAAAACAAGTGAAAGCAAAACTGAACAGGATAGGAACTGCAGTCTGCATGTTTACAGTCTTGTGATCTATACCCCACCCCCCATCATGCCTGCCTATTTACATAAACTTTAAAGCAGGTGTAAACACACCAATGAGACAAACAGGACCAGATTTAAGCATATGGATGCATCACCTTTCTGCACTCTGAAGTCTTAGGGTTATTAGTATAGTACAAACATATGATTTATGAGAAAAATTACTTCTGTAGCGATTTACAAAACATTTGCTATTAGCTGAAACTGACCACCATTAGAGATCAGCCGTTCCCAAAGTCAAATATCAAAGCCAAAACGTGGCCCTCTTTTAATTCTTAAGTTTTAACAGCAAGTTTTAGGATCATCTGGTCCTTCTCGGGTGTTAAGATTAATTAAATACAACCTCAGATGAACAGCAAAACATGACGTGTTACACGCTGACATTATTTATCTAACAGACTAAACCAAAATGCAGAAGCACTGTGTGAAAAACTAAGTAGACGCCATGCTTCTAAAACCACCCTCAGCAGCCATAAGTTGAAGTCATTGTTTTCTGTGTAACATTTTCAGCCTCTCACATCGCTGTGGAGGAATTTCGACTCTTTGACCTTGATTCTTTTCTTTTTTTCTCTTGTAGGTTTGTTGCTATGCAGACAGTTGGTATGAGGTGTTTGCACTGATATGCTGTGATTGGTTTTCACCAAAACGTGGCAATGTGCATTTTGAATGCACATCGCCTCATGATGAAAACACCCAACTGCAAATAAATAAACAGTTTATTAATAATACATTTTCAGATGATGATGATAAGATGCCAATTAACAATCTATGAAGAACATAAAAAAATCTAACTGTGGGACCAGATTAACGTTAGAGAAAATAGTTAATCTGCTGATTTAGTGCAGAGAGGTGTAAATATTTTAATTTGAATGAATTATCTCACGGCTGAGTGCTGCTCTTTATTTGTAAGGTGAATTGAGCTTTGAAAGTTTTTGATATTTTCATTTTTATTGCACAAAAGGACGAGAGCGCGACGGTAAAGCGTTAAGTGCATCCAGAACAAAAACAACAGCGATATGATGCTAACGGCAAGATAGCCAAGAATAGCCAGAGTCATGTTATAGCTGAGTGAATGCCGACCCCAGCCCAACAAACAGATGAGCACTCAGGCTGGAGCCAGTGTTCGTGTTTCTTCAGTCGAATCACTGTAGCGATTGCTTTGAAGTCTCTGTGCTGGTTTTGAACTTTGTGCTGTGGGCTTTTTGTTCATACCTAAATCTAAGAGGAAATCATATGTGTGTACTGATTAGGACAGGGATTTGTGTTGGTGTGTGGGGCTGTAGCCTCAGGTTTATATTTTTGAATGGTGATTGTGAGACGGTGTTAAGTACATTACTTAATTACTCAAGTTACATACTGCATTACTTTTAAGAAAAGTAGTCTGTAATTTGTGTAATATGTTAGTTCCTGAGTAGTTAATCCAACACTGATCACAACAAAGAGGGGAAATAGCTTCAGCAGTCACTAACATTTGACCCACAGCATAGAGTTCATTTGCATGCATGTAATGTCTTTGATATGCTGCTTAGCGATGGCGGCGACTCTCAAAGCAGAGCCAGTGGAAACCCAGTGAGAATCAATAAGTGATATGGAATCGCTGAATTCTTATTAATTCCCATCCCTACTGATCATTTTCAACTTGAAGACTCAGGTTACATTATTAAGGCGTGGCACTTTTTTATAAGGAGCCACAAATAAAAAAATAAAAAATAATTCAGCTCTTCATCCTCTCTTTCCAAATATGATCACTCACCAGCTGACACTGCTTTTAAATGTAGGGTCCAAAACCAACAGGTCACATTAAACAGTGGCTACCTCCATCTTTTCAATACAGTCTGTGGATCAGGAGGTTTAATGACTACATGTAAATCAATTAGTAAACTCTGTGTGTGTGTGTGTGTGTGTGTGTGTGTGTGTGTGTGTATGTGTGTGTGTGGAGGAAGTCTATTGGGTGAAGGTGGAGTTTTTGGGGTGGGCGGTGCAGCTCGGCAGAACGCTAAAGATCAAACTGGCTCCGGTCTGTGCGTCAGTGTCTTTCATGTGTCTCGCGGAGACGTGGGTAAAAAGGACAATTATTACTGAGGCTCGAGCTCTTCTTTCGTTAATTAATATTTCTCTGAGACTCTTCGAGGACCGTTTTCCCCTTTGAGGTGTTCCTGTGTTTCCACGCCGCGGCTCAGTGACCTGAAGGAGGCTTGATGAGTGGAAGCAGCGTCGGTGAGTTGAGTTATTACGCTTACACAACACGTTACCTGGTCACGCGCTTTACAAACCACCTCACGCTTATCACACCTTAAATATATATATATATCTATATATATATATATCTATATATAGATATATATATATATTAATAGTTTGTTATTTAGTTTTCTCTTTGTCTTTGAGCATTTTTCTTCTTTCTTTAAGCTCAGACAGAAGTGAAAGTCACGGCAGATTGTACTACAGCTAATTTAACGCTCGTAGTGATGTGAAAATTGAAAGTGTGATTATTGGAACGCTGTGTGTGTGTGTGTGTGTGTGTGTGTGTGTGTGTGTGTGTGTGTGTGTGTGTGTGTGTGTGTGTGTGTGTGTGTGTGTGTTTATACTTTATGTTGAACCGCAGGAAGTCAGCCTGAAATTTAAGCAGACGAAGAAATATCTGGGTCAGCGTCAGTGGAAAGTGCAAACTGCGACCACAGATCGGCTTTTAATGAGTGTGATTTACATTTACGGGAACTATCAGGGGTGTGTTGGAAGACAAACCCACCTAAAACGAGGTTACACGGCTTCTCTGTGGAGAAAGTCAGTGGAAAAATGAACGGTGACCCTAAAAAACGATCTAAGGGGATGCGATAGACTTTTTTTTCTCTTTAATTCACTGAAAGCAGTTTTCATGGAAGTTTGAGCGCTTTAAAAACAAAACACAAAAAGACATCGGGAAGACCTCTGAAATCCCAGAGGCAAGTTTTACATTTTAAAATGTTTGTGGTTTGATTTCTCCGGTAAATGAGAACCATCATTTCCTTATTCCCACATGTGCGTTTCCTGATGTGTTGACCATTAAACATTTAGAGAAAAGTCCCCTGTGTGGGAGGCACGTTTCTTGCAAATCAAGTCAAAAAGACACCGAGTGTGGGCAGATATCAGAAGTGCTTTATGAGTTTGTTCACCTCGAATAAAAGTGGTCCCGAGTTGACTGAGCTGGGTTTATTATAATAAAACGTCCAAACAGGATTAAAAAAAAATAATCCGACCTCCGTCTACTAACTACTACTGTAATATTATAGAAATGACAAAACAATCACACAAGAGAAAGTGTAATTTATTTACACAGCCTGCCTCACCAAGAGTGTTTCTGAAGGTATTATTATTATAATAATAATGTATACTTTATTGATCCCCGTGGGGAAATTATTCTCTCTGCATTTAACCCGTTCACTCAGTGAAGCAGTCGGCAGCCACCAATCCAGCGCCCGGGGAGCAGTGTGTAGGGACTGTACCTTGCTCAGGGGTACCTCAGGGTAGCCGTTCAGTGGATTTGAACCCCCGACCTTCCGATCATGAGGTGACCACGCCCCATGGGGGGACCACGCTACCTACTGTGCACTGTGTGGAGTTTGCAGTAATGTAGGGCCGTTCATAAATTTGGCTTTAACAGCTCATCAGCTCTGTTTCTTTAAATATGTCAACTAAATATATCAACTTTTATCTGGATGTTAATCACAACATGTACTGCCGTTCATCTTGTCTCACAGACAAGGGACTGTTTACACCTCCTGTTCACATCATAATTTCACATTTTCGGGTTCTTTAAATACCCACGTGTGTGTTTTTATCTCCAGCAGAATTTCATGTGCATCTCAAACCCCACACACATGGATGTCAGGAGGAAAAGGTCCAATGATGCTGCCCACGTCGGTCTACTCGGTTTCAACAACTACTAGGTGAGAGAAACACTGCACGCATCCCAGCGCCTTTCTGCTGTGCTTTCACTTGAAAGTCACAGAGGATATCACACTTGATAAGAGCTGATAAAGTGCGTGAAACAGAAGTTCCACTAAAGTCAGACTGAAATTAATTTGCCTTCCCCCGTTTTGGTAAATGTTCCGGCTCACAGTCACATCAGCCACCTGGTCAGTCACCGCAACACACCTGAAGAAGACGATGAAACCATGAGTGCAGAGCTGAGAGACCCCAGCATTCTTTCCAAACCGGAGTCCGCCTCCGACCCTCTGGGCCACCACCCTCTTTCAGACTGTGATGGCTCTCTGTTCGGCAAGCAGAGCCTGGACACAGAGGAGCACAAGCACATTAGGATCTTCCCCCAGTCCAGCTTCTGCCCATCCCAGCCCTCTCGCAGCTTGCCAGCTGGGTACAGCCCCCAAACTCCTTTCCCGAGCCAGGCATACAGCGGCTGGCTCCACCCGAGTTTCGCCAGCAGTTGGTCGGGATATCCCAACAGCCTGCCGTCCTGTCTGAGCCAGAAAGATTACTCCAGCTGTTCTGGAGAGAGCTGCCTCTCCAGATGCAAGTTCCTGTCCCTCCCCGGCACTCACAGCAGCATGGGCAGCTTAGAGCAGCCTCTCTCTCTGCGCTCCAACCCGCCTTCAGCCAACCTGTACCACCACACGTTATCGCCATACTCGTGTGCACCACAGGGGCCCGCCTGCTGTGCTCAGTGCCCTGCAGACGCCTTCAACAGGGAGCCTATGGTCAACAAGCATCCCTGGCCTGAGTACCACCCAGCTTACCGCCAGTACTGTAAGTTTGCCGGACCCTTTTTTAACCTTTAAACCACGCACAGACCGCAGCCGTTATTTATTTTGTCTGTACTGCTGCAGATGCAGGTGACTGCAGAGTTCCTGCAGGTGGATTCACACAGATGTGAGTTTTGATTTTTTGATTTTTTTTTTTTTAAAAATTACAATTAAATTCTTTCTCACTCTGTTGCTTGTTTCTGCTATTAAAATAAAATTTTTTTAACTACATACAGCGGACACAACGTTCCAGTCAAAGAGAAGCGCCCTCCTTGCAGCGCGCCGCTGTCTCTGGAGCAGAGTGAGTGCTCACGAGCAGATCAGACGCCTGGTCCTGTTGTCAGACGATCCCGCCTCTGAAAAAGTTTGTTTTTGTTGCAGGGCGTGTCTTCGTCACTTACGAAGCAGACAACGACAAGCACGTCAACGAGATCATCAAATTTGTGGCTCTGCTGCGGCACAACGGCTTTGACACGCACGTACGTGCAGCTTTTAGTCTTTTTGTGTGTTTTGTTTGAGCAACTTAAAATGTCAGGAGCTGGAAAAAAAACAGTTAAAATTCAGCTGGCTAGATTTTAACAAACATTTTAAAAAACTTTGTCATTGTAATACTAAAGTTACAAATTTAGGTGCAATTATTATAAATATAGTATATAATAAATAGCTTATTAAATAGCTTACTGTATATCCATTTAAACAAGTGATTTTTGAACTAAATTGTGATTCCTGCCTATTTTTGTAATTTCCTCCCAGAGTGAATGCTGGATGCTACAGATGAACTTTTAGTCTAGACTCTCATCAGCTCATCACGTTACATATTTCTTGCTTTCATTTTGTTGGTGACTCTGAGTTTCTGTTAATATCTTACAAGTTATTGCGTGTTATTTGTCAGCTTGTCCTGTTAACTGGCTTTACACAATTAAAATGTATAAAGAATTTGTGTGTTTTCTGCGCAGGGTTAAACTGTCTGACTCGCAGCTTTGCTTGTTTCAGATCGACATTTTCGAGCAGCAGTTCAGAAGCATAAGCAAGATTGACTTCATGGAGCGATACCTGAGTGAGGTAAAAAAAAAAAAAAAAGCAAACTGTCGGTGAAATTCTTTCATGATGATCAAATGGAATGAAAACAATTTAAATTGAGTAATCTGCCTACAGAGGAAGTCATTTTCACATCTAGGAACTCAAGACGTTCTGCAAGAGTGAACTTGTTGCATGAAGAAGTTTGATAGCTGCAGTAGCTTACTGCCAGTTGTAATTTTCTCTTGTCTTAGAAAGAGTATCTCATCATCATCATCATCAGCCCCAAGTACTACGAGACGGTGACCGCTTCCCCTGCTGGCCTGGAGAGCGACGAGAGGACCTACAACACGGTTTACATACATAAACAGGTGAGCGACCTGAATGTGGTCCAAACGAAGACTGAAATAATCTTAACGAGAGCGAAAAACTGCGTGCTCTCATCGCCGCTGTGAAATCAAATTGTGTATGTGGTTTTCCTGTGTGTGTCACTCAGCTGCAGAATGAATTCATCCAGAATGGAAGCAAGAATTTCAGGTTCATTCCTATCCTGTTCCCCGGGGCTAAAAAGGTAATTTTTACATGTCTTCCTGAGTGAGATCACGCCACTGATTCCACCCACCACCCAGTCTCACACCCTGTTTTGTTTCTTGTTGTTTTGTTTGAATGTATAATCAGTGCCACGTGCCTAACTGGCTCCAGAACACACATGTATATGGATGGCCACGTGATCGGGATGACATCCTGCGGCGGCTGATGAGGGTCGAGAAGTACAACCCACCTCCTATCGGGGAGCTTCCGACCATAGTCTCCATCCCCATTTAAAAAAACTCTGAGCTGGATTCACAGACTGGACTTAAATCTTATTGGCTGTTGGTCATTAAGGAGGTGGACAGAGTGATGAGGTGCTTTTGTGAACAGACAGATGTTGTGTGTTTAAATTAACATATAGAGAAGTGCCAGTGTTGGTCTGAGATAGACGTGCAGACTCAGGCTTTTTTTTTTTTTTTAAAATATATATATCTTTGCCGTTGTGCATCATGCTGTATGTGCACTGGTGCTACTCCACCTCGTGTTTTTTGTTTGTTTTGTTTTTGTTGTTTTGTTGTTGTTTTTTAAAGGGGGTCTATTATCATTCCCAGCCCAAGATAATGTTACTCTTGGAATCGGGAGCTTTGCCTGATTCACAGATCAAAGCAATCCTTATTCACCGTACAGCTGCAGAGACCGAGGAGAGTGCAAGCCATGTTGTTTTGTTAAAGCTACAGTTTGCACATGTCGCCTGAATGCGTCGTGTGCAGGTAATCACGAAGTTGCGTTTTTGAAAAGAACACAGCTGTGAGGACACAGTCTCTGGATGTGAGTGTGCAGAACAGGCAGAACGGTGTGTGCGTGCAAAAAACAAATTAAATTTTATGTGAGAACTGTTTGAGGAAAGCTTTCGTTTTCACATCTCGAGCACCTACGTTGGACTTAAACTGAGGGTGTGCCTCCTAGTAGTTGATGGTTACACTTGATTTATAGGACTAGTAAATTGCTCCTCAATAATGTACGCTTCACGCAGAGCACAGCAGGGAAAACGCTGATAGCAGAACAGGTTTCAACCCCAACTTTAGCACTGCTTTCACTCAGGGCCCAACAATACCAGACCTGGTTCAACTTGGTTTCACCTGGTTGAACATTGGTCAAGCTGGGCGAACAGTAGATACACGGGTTCAACAGCCTGGGATTTACTTTATGTATATACACTGATCTCCTTGTACATGTTTATATTAAACATCTCAAACTGGAGCGATCTACAGTACTGTGCAAAAGTCTTGAGTCACTGCTCATTTTTTAAAATACATTATCACCTTTATTCTCCAACATAGCCTAAACTCTCTGAGACGAACCTTCTGGTAATTTTCTCCAGGCTTCATTCAAAGCTGTTTTTTGAATGTCGGCTGCCTTTTGTTCTGTTCTCTGTCAAGATCACACTTCAATAATGTTGACGTCCGGGCTTCATGACTAACAGTGTTGCGTGTTGGTTTTTTTGTCTTTTCTGTCCGGATTTGCTTTTAGCAGATTGACAGTGGTCTCATACACAATGTCAATCAGAGGAAAGTATTGGATGGTGGATCAAAACCTGATGGTACTTTCAGCATTCCTAAGACCATGAATTTTGACAAGATTCCCCACCATGTTTTACAGATGACCGCTATTGGCCCCTGATCTCATCCTTATGGACTGACCGTGATTTAAACCAAAAATTTTCCAATTTGAATTTGTTACCACTGATTCTTCGCTCCAGTTCTCGTGTAATTTCGCATACTTCTTTTTCCCTTCCTTACAAATGGCTTCTTCACAGCCTTTCACTGAGACCACTTCTGATGAGGGAATCACCTTGTTGATGTAAACTTACTATTTTATGTCTATCAAACTGTGTTAGCTTTGGCTTTTTTCATATAATAAACAAAAGACACGGAAATACAGCATCCAACTGGCAGACTTGCAAAAGCACCAAGAGATACAATTTAAAAAGAACTTCTTTGCAAAGTTGTATTATGTAAAAACACAACACTGGTTCATCCCTTGAGTTAGGTGCCTTTTTTGTGCTCTGGTGATAAGTAGGTGACTGAGTGGCTTAACTAACAAAAGAAGTTCCTCTGAAAATGGACAGGTACGGGGACTGGGCTGAAAGCTCAAGTCTACTTAAAGTCTGGCTCCCTGGATGTGAAGAAATGAAGCGTGGCTCAGGCCTTTTACACAGTACTGCATGTGACAGAAATTTAGGCAAAACATAATAGTTCCCCTTTAATTTTAAAGCCTGAAAACACAGATTCGTGAATGTTTGTTTGTTTTACTGGACATCTCCTACACGTCACTACAAACAGATGTATATGTGTTTGAGTGGAACAGCAGGGCTCTCACTTACGATGTGCAAACATTGACCCAGATACTATATTCTCTCAGCCTTTATGACCTATTACAGGTGCCTGTTCATTTTGAACAGCTGCTCAACTGGACGCATAACACAGTGGTTTGTCATCGTGTTTTCTTATATTGTGTGTGGTTCGTATTGTTTAAAGAGAATGCAGGTGCGGGTAAAAATGGTTTGTGGCTTTTGTATTTGCATTTATACCTCTCTGTAAGCTGCACCCGAATTCATTTTCTCTAACCCACTTTTGTTAATTTATGTTCCAACTAAGTTATTCTTAAAAAGTTTTAGCAATTATTTTTTTCTGTATGAGCGTTAAAGTGTGTTGTCGTCCCCCCTAGCATCTAACCTTTTGTACTGAATACAACAAAAAGAGCAGGGGGGTAATCTGGTGTTTTTCATGTTCCTTCTGCATTGGAAACTATTCTCAGGGGATCCTTGATGCTATGTTACAATAAAAGTATTGAATGACTTGCCCCCGAGCTGTCCTCTGAAAAATGCACAAGCGTTTGTAAAATTGGCCCCAAAAAATACAGACAAGCAGAGGCACGCTCCTGGGCTTCGTGGGGCCTCTACAAAAAGCAAGCTGAATTTTTCGGTTTAGAGACGAACCATGAGAACTTTAAGGTTTGATTGCAGATGTGTCAACACGTCGCTGCCTCTGATGCCTCCATGAGAAATCCAACTGAGTCGCTTTGTCTGCTAACGAAACCTCTGAAGCGGCGCTGCAGTCGAATTACATCTGCTGAGGCTCCTTGCGTTATGAAAAAACTTCAACAGGATGTTGTATAAAGATAATTAGCTGACACAGCTGCCTGCTTCTCAAGAATCTGCAAATTTAGACTCAAATGGGTCATCGGAGGCTGGCTGTGGTTAGAGAAAAATCTTGTGTAATGCTGTGACACATTTAAAGAAAGCGCCTGCGTGTGCAGAATATGACACCACCTCCATCCTCGCACAGGTTGAATAAATACATTAAAATCCTGCTTTTTGCACAACTGATTACAAGCGAGATACAGATTAATGGTTTTATCTTCACAAGAGGTAACACTGCAGATGTTCATACATTAAGAAAAAAATCTGAATACAGTGTTTCATATATTCATCCATATATTGAAAAGTACATGAAATAATATTAATTTTAATAACAATAAAAGGACAATGACATCTGTAACAAAAGTGGATTACAAAGTGACTTTTTATGCAAATAACTCTTAAGAATTAGGAGACAAATCAGACAATAATTCAATTTTACTGTATGTAAAAACACTGAAGTGCTATTTGTTCAAAGCTACAAAATACACTTAAAAAAAGCAGGAAGAGTTCTTTTTTATTTCCTTCAAGGAAAAGTACTATAAAATAAGTTACAGTACAGTGAATTTGTTCAAACTGACTTTTGTTCCCGTCTTCCAGCCTTTTGTAAGCACAAACAGAAGATAGTCATACAGGAGCAGAGAGGGAGATTGTTCGAAAGTCACTTTCCTCAAAAAAAAGAAACGAGCAGCCGCGCTGTCGTCGATAACTGTGCATCTTTAGTGTGTTTGTGTTTACAATAATCACACAAATGTTTCTGAAAATGTGAAACCTTTGAGCTTTGAGTCTTCATAGTCTGCTGGTCACGTCGCCTGTGGCCTTAGAAGAAATCTTGGTACTTCATAAGCTCAAAAAAAAAAAAAAAAAAAAAAAGGCACAAATACTTCATGTTTAGTCACATAACACAGAGACGAGCTCTCATACATCGTCAGCCGGCAAAGGAGGTATGTTGAACCTTGGTCTTGTGAAAAAAGCCATCTTCTCTCTGCAGGCAAAGACAACGACTTGTTATAATTAATATGCCGTTTTTAGTAAAAGCTTCCTAATCAGCAGTGATCTTGTGAACTGTGCCGTGTCTCTTTGGTGTTTGACTTTTAAATCAGTGTAGACAAAAGTTCTGTCGTTTTGTGTTTCGTACACTTTGCTGCTTTGACCGTAGATTTTCGGTCAGTTTTGCACAATGTGTCATTTTTGCATTGTGACATTGTGCTGTGTAAGGCTGGAAAAATGCACACATGGTCACCAAATTGGTCCTGAATTGATGGATATTTTTAGTTAGTCCTTAAAGAGCAGGTGGATCAGCAACTTGGAGTGCTGATAAAGCAGGAATGGATCGTCGCTGATCAGTTAGGTCTCTGACACATTTGATGTCCAATGTGTCAGAGATTTGCAGACGTTATGAATGAAGAAGAAAGATCAGTCTTTGCATGAACTTGACTTATTTGCCAGTAAAAGTTTTAGAAATTCTTCTCCTGCTACTTGTCACATTTCTGATTATTTAAGTCTTAAAGAATTTAATTTAGTGGAACCCACTGTTCGGGCCTGCCATGACTTTCTTCTGATGGAAATAACCACAAATGTAACATTATGTAAGGTTCCTGATTTAAACTATGGATATGTGATATGAATAAAGTAGGAGCTCTGTAGATCTTAAGTTTCTAAACAACAGTCCTCTTCCACGATATCTTTCTTCAGAACACGAGGAAGGAATAGATGCCAAGCTAAATTTAAGACTTCTTCTGGGGTCAGCGGGCGTTCATAGCATACAGCTGAAACAGATTTTAGCTGACTTATATATCACATCAGTTTAACCTGAAGTGCAGCCTCTGCTGACAGGCACAGTAATTTTCCTGGACTTCGGTGCCGTGACTAACAATGTGAAAACTGATCAGTGCATTTCTCACCTGAACGTCTGCACAGGCAGCGGCTCCTTCTGGCTCTGCCCTCTCATCTGTAGAACCTCCTTAGAGGCCTTCCTCAGCCTCCTCTCTGCCGCCTCTTCCTGACGTTGCTCCTGCTTGCTTTGGTTGGCCTGTAAAGCAGCAAAAACTGTCAAACGCTGCTGGGAGAGGCGTATTTGTAAGGGAGCTGCAGCCCACTCAGTTTCCTCACCTGTCTCTGGGCCTCTCTGAGCAGGCATCGAAAGCGCTCGTCCCTCAGCGCCCAGTTGGGGAGCTCGGTGGCCTCCGTGGTCTGCGGCTCCTCCAGTCGCAGCTTCAGCTCTCTCAGGGCGCTCAGCTCCTCCATCAGCTGCCTCTGACGGGTCCTGCAGGCCTGGAGATCCAGCTCCAGGTCCAGGGAGGTGCGCGTCGGCTGCTCGGCCAGGGGGGAGCGGTACGACTGCTGCTCACACACAGACAACTCAGGTAAACGACAAAAAAACCCGTACAGGCACAGGGTGAAAGAGACATAATGAGAACGTACCTGCTTATATCGCAGTGTTCTTCTTTCCAATGTGTTTCTAACAAAAGGCGACTTCTTTGGTAGAGTTGAGCTGTCACTGTCACTGCGATACAGCTGAAAGAAACAATAACATCCACTTTAAGGCCACGGCTCACCCTAAAATCAAATACATGTTTCCACTGCCCCATGGTGCCAAATAATCCAGCTAGATTATTTTAGTGCGAGTTGCCTTATTTTAAAGTGAGCCACGCTTAGTAATGTGCAAAACTCTTGAGCCGACCCTAATTTCTTTACATTTTGTTATGAATATGGAAAATATGGCAGTGATTTATTTCATGTTTAAACTGGCCCAAATGTTTTAGTTAATTACAGACAAGTGGAGACACGGACTTCCCTGCAAGGCTTTGTGCACCAAAAACGGTTTGAACAATTCTAATTAGCTTGAATGTCAATATTTGGTGCGACCACCTTTATCCTTTAACACAGCTTGGACTCTCTCAGACCAGCCTTCTGTAAGTAGTGTTCAGGAACAGTTCTCCAGGCTTTCAAGGACATTCAAAGCTCTTCTTTGGAAGAACATGATCCCACACTACTTCAATAATGTTAAGGTCCGGGCTCTGGGGAGGCCAGTCCATTGTTGTTTCCCATCAGATGCTAAATTAATCACATCACTTCGACAAGATTCCCAACACTGCTGACTGAAATGTAGCCTCAAACTACAACAAACCATGGTTTATAGATTTTGGAATAAAATTGGATCGCTCCATAAGTACGATGGCCCTCAGTGATGCCTGTAATTTGGAACACCTCAGCCTTTGCTCCCTGTTTCCCTTCCTTAAGAATGGCTACTTGACAGCCACTCTTCCACTGAGACAACATCTGATGAGGCTTCAGGGCCAAATGTATCTCTCAGGTCCTGTGCCAGGTCCTATTTCTTTCTTTTATACACCGATTTATTTTAGGACTGCCATTTCCACTTCAGCTTCAGGTCCAATTCAATTCAATTTATTTATATAGCACCAAATCACAACAACAGTCGCCTCAAGGCACTTTATATAGTAAGGTAGACCCTACAATAATACCTTCAGAGAAAAAAAACCCAACAACCATATGACCCCCTATGAGCAAGCTATTTGGCGACAGTGGGAAGGAAAAACTCTCTTTTAACAGGAAGAAACCTCCGGCAGAACCAGGCTCAGGGAGGGGCGGGGCCATCTGCTGCGACTGGTTGGAGTGAGAGAAGGAAGACAATGCACTGATGTAGTTTTTTAGGACTGCCATTTCCACTTTATGGACACTTTGCACAGTATTCCAAAAGTTTTCAGCTTATTCCTCGTTCTATACTATTTTAAGCAAATATATTGTCTTTGGCATTTTTCATATATTCAATTAGTTTTTCATAGATTTAAGATGCATTTGGTTCTTTACCAAGTCGTGTGTTACATGTAAACACAACACTGCTTCGTACTTTGAATTAGGGGCCTTTTTTATGGTTGAATGATTCATAGATAAGAGTTAAGTGTGGCACAAAGGACTAAAAATCATTCATCTCACAAAAAATGTGAGACACTCATTCATGTTTCTTTCCACAAATCATGACCCAGTTAGTCTAAAAACACAAACCTGTTACCGCACTACACCCACCGATCTTAGCGCTGCAGACGAAAGCGCAAATCTACACAGGATGTAAACACTTAAAGTCGTCCCCTCACAGCTGAGCAGAAACTAGCTGCGCACTTCTTTTGGTTGGCAAATGTAGACAGTAGAGAGAAATTAGTTCCGACATGAAACTGCTCACAACAGCGTTTGTGGATTTTATTTGGGTATTTTAGTAACTAGGTCATGATTTCTGGAAAGAGACACAGCTGTCAGATGATGTTTTTGAGCTATATATATATTAAGATAAAGGAGACACCTCCACAGCTGATGGGCAACTCAAACCAAACAATACAGTATAAATGTTCCTGGAGGTGGGCGGGGCGCAGGCGGGTGGCAGAAAGTCATAATTATGGTTGACAAGGTTGAATGTTGTCTGTTTAACTTGCTGTAAAACAGTTAATTACATTCAAGAATCAGCTCATGTTTGAACATTTTAAATACTTAAAATGAGGGGGGGCTTTCCTGCACATTGTCTGCACATTAATCGTGCACGGCCTTTTCATCCAGATGGATATACAGCATGACAGGAAAGAAAGATGAGAATTACACTACACATCTTATATTCGTATCTATATGCTGTCACTTTTATAATAAAATAAAATACTCACCCTGCACACATACTG